TTCTGATCCGACCCACTCGGTTCCCCAGACTGGGGAGAAGCGTTCGAGAAAGGATACCGCTAAGGAGGCTGTCCATGCTGCACTTACGTTTGTGCGCAGAACTCGACCCATGGCTGAACCTAACGAGGGCTTCATGGAGCAATTAGCCTTGTGGTGGGAGATGGGTTGCCCGGATGATGTTGAAGCACACCCTGTATATCAGCGGTGGGCTTACAAGCGTGAAATCGACGAGAACCTTGCAGTAGGCCAGGCACCGACGAGGCTTCGTTTCGAGGATGAAGAGACCCAGCCTCGTGATGACTCGGGTCTTAGTCTACGATGTAAGAAGTGCCGTCGAACTTTGGTCACGGCACCCTTCATTGTGGAGCACAAGCCTTCTGACAAGAAGTCCTCGGCGTCTACATGCCAGCATTACTTTGTCGAACCACTTAGTTGGATGCGCGGGGTTCTTGAACAGGGAGAGCTCAACGGAAGATTATTATGCCCCAATGCAAAGTGTGGCGCTGGTGTAGGCCGGTACGACTGGAAGGGCTTTCGGTGCTCCTGCGGCGGATGGGTGACGCCGGCGTTCTCGCTACAGAAGGCGAGGGTCGACGACGTCGTCAGGCGGCCGGCGACTCAGAGCATGGGGATCCGGATGCCGCCCGGGTTAGCTCCACGGAGCGGAAACTTGTGAGGACAGGTGAGGGCGGAATTACTACCAACCAATACTAGACAAGAGCGCCGCATAGACACCGATTCAGGCCCATGTTTCCGATCCGTGCCTTGAGAGACCCGTCCTCCGCGGATCCGTTGTTATGTCCGGTGCCTAAGGCATACCGCATGCTGCTTGACAGGTCCGTCTGGACATGGAGCTTTGCCCTTCTCGAGATACATTCCGCTCTGGCATGATGCATCTCTCATGGCGAGCGAGCCACTGGGAGAGAGGGAGCAAAAGCCGGCGGGGTAACAGGCGGGATCGAAAGCCCTAGGGCTTACAGGGCGTGAGGTGTGCGCTGTGGAAGGGAGAAGAGAAAGTGTGTCCTGGTGCATTTTGCATCTCGTCGTGGATAAGCCGGGAGACTCGGGCTGCATGAAGAGGGGATCTTCGCAGAGCAGATGGTTCCTGGGAGACCAAGTCCGACGGAGAGAAAAGGGAGTCCGAGTTTGGGGTCCAGTGAAGACACAAGGCATCAGCACTAGGCCTCGTTGGAAGAGTCGTGTCACCTTTCAGACCAACATCCAAACAGAAGAAAGAGTAGCATGCGCACGCCTCTGTCTATACACACAATAGAGCCCTACAACTCTGCATGAGCAGATCCTTCGAATGGTTAGCTTCATGATTCGACGTCTGGTTGTCTTATTCCCATGTGGATCTTGTTCTCCATAATCGCTCTACTTTCAACTATCTAATCTAATCGACGCAGTTCTAATGACAGGCCTAGCTCGAATCCTTCTATGGCCCAGCGTCTTACATGGCTCAATCCACCACGGAATTCCGACATAGGCCCAGCCACTAACTTGCTGACTATAGGGCTGATCCTAGGATTTAAAACCATGGAAAAAGGAAAATAAAGGAAGAAACACAGAAGATCACGAAACTTGAATACGCTGCGCTTACTGATATACCCCGTTTCGCCTTGGTCTGAAACCCACATCGGGCGTAAGCCAGTCAGCACCACCGTCTTCGCCTTGGTCTTGGTTGAAGGATCGCACTCATTGTGGGCAAACCCTTGGATGTGAGCTTGTATAGCGGGGACATTTTGTCCAAAAAGCCCTTTTAACCTATCGCCATTTGATCTATGATGCGTCAAGGCGGAGAAAAAAGAAGACAGCGCTGTCTTGGCGGTTCCGCTTACGCCCGGCGATTGCCCTTTGGGGTATATACTTTATCTTGTTGTCTTACAGCGACATTTCAGCCTTTTGAGGATTGCGTTTAGCCCTCTTTTGTGTGTCAAGTTGGAGTTATCTAAACGCCATGCTTGGCGGGTATAGCTTCGATGTTGGTCATAGCTCCCCTTGTCTATTCTCATGACGTCTTTGCTCGCATCTTGATACCACTTTTGACCTCCAGGGTATTGGTCATGGGGGAGTGATGCTGGATAGTATGGGCTAGTTAGTTTTGCTGGGAGCTAACTAGTTGGAAACTATCTACCCGCAGCATGCCTCATCGACGGGTGCATCTTACTGCATGACACGTTTTTCCCATCTTGGGCTAGAGTGTGTGTTGACAACGAATGCTATACGCAGTACGGAGCGGACCTTCAGAGATGCAACGGTGCGAGCATAGCGAGCGAAGGAATATGAACTATACCTCGGTCTTTGTTCATGAACTGACCACTTGAGAGTCAGCCCTATCTTGTAGCCTGCTCGTACAAAGTTATTCCAGCAAGGCCCTAGAACAAGGGCAGAGTAGCACTCATCTAGGCTGCCTCGATAAGGAGGGGCGTGGTTTAGTCCATCTCTCACACTCACACACCCCTGAAAAGGATACATGCTCGTCTGACAGCATACAAGTACCCAGCCTGCGAAGTTCGTCTGTCTATCCCCGAAGGGAAAGGCACGCGTTGTTTTTCACTGACTGCAACCCCAACCCACCGGAAGGATTTGTAGCCGTTGGACCCCTTCGAGAGATCTGCGGGAAGTCTTTTCTTTCCCTGGGTCTTCGCTGTCAAACACCCTCGGCATTCCCGATTTATGAAACCTTGAAAAGCATGAAACTTGATGGGAAGCGTTTATAGAAACATGAGGAAAAACTCTATTTTGAGAGGGGGAGCTACTGCATGGTGTCATACCCTCCGTTGCCGATGAGATTCGGTCTGTGTGGCTGGATTGTATGGCATGGGAGCTCTTGTTGTCGCACGATCACTGTGATGAGCCCAAGCCGTCGGTACTTGGCGTAGACCGCTTCTCTCTCAGAGAGAAATATATTGGAGAGTCACATGTCTTGTTTTGCATGTCTCATGTCAGCCCTACAATCACGCTGTGGAGTATCTCGGACTTGGGGACTACAAGACACGGACTGAAAAGACCACAATCTGTGGCTGTTTTACCAGGGAAAAGAATAAATGACGCTATCCTATATCATGTCATTGCATGCGACGGCATCTAGGATGATTCAGGTCCTTGCAGGAGTAGTGCTCTCAATGCATGTCACTCCCCTCAACCTTTCGATCATCATGTATATCTGCAGTCATCACCTATCCTCTCTCCACCGTTGTATTACACACAATAGAATGATTCTAAATTCTTATTCTGAACATTGTGAATCCTCTGACTCGCTCTTCGCGGTGAAGGTCTCTGTATCTCGGATCCGAAGCCCTCGAGGTCACCGAGTCTATACGCTTACACCTAAGAGCTAGATGCCGTAATTCTGCGGAGACTCTTACAAGGATGTAAGCTACCAGAAATCGTCACCTTGACACCGCTTCACGATGGCTTTTTCTTTCTTTTACTTGCCGCGCGAACGAGCCATTGGTGAGTCGTCATGATACACCCTCCATTGGAACTCGACAATAACTGATCAATCAGATCTCGAGACAAGCGAGTATCACATCACCATTATCATCACAGTATTGGACTTGTATGTCCTCTGAGTGGGAGTTGTCGCGGCTCTTCCAGCTCTTGTTTTCCAAGCCCAAAGATGTAAGCACTAAGTAGCTCAGACGCCCCGCACCCTGAGGGTCACATCCCATGGCTCTTTTTCTGCTATCCTATCCTGTCAGACGGTTGAGAATGCGAGATCAATACAAGAATTCCATCGTGTGTTTACTAGCATCGGGCGAGATGTGTGTGTGTGCAGTCCCTATGCTGACACCAATCATCTTGTAGTTGGTCTGCATGGGAAACTTGAAGACCAATGCAGCTGTTTCAATAAAAGGGCATAATCGTCGGCATAATGGCACGCTAAGATTGGATGTCCTTTACGCTTGTGGCTTGCGTCGTAACGAAACCGAACGTCAAGAGGTTAGCGTCGTGATGCCGGAGTTTACGGTTCTCTGGTAAATCCGTGATATGACTTGACTTGACTTGCCTGAATAGGAAGCCAGTTATTATGAGGAAAGTAAACTAAGCGATGTGATGTGTAATTGAGAAATCTCTGCAGTTTGTGGAGAGTGGCTTGAGGGCGATGGCAGTGTGTTAGTATACGAGCAGATCAGGGCTCAAAGGACGGGAATTCTGAGGGACAAGTTGATATGAAACGCTTGGTTAAGTTGTTACCAAGGGCTTGAAGTGCATCTAGGTTAATTATAGAGCGGCAAATTAGCTGAGTCGCCACAGAGTTGCAAGGAGATTGTCGATGTAACAAGCATCAAAGATATGAGACATTACTTGAGACCACACATTCGCCTTCATATGGAACGTTTCTTCCCGTGTAAGATATGGGAGGTGTCTAGCCTAAGGACCTTGATATAGGGTATTAAAATAAACTCCAAAGAACAAGCTGCGAGGGAAGCCGGCGAGGGGACTTGAAGCATTGTCTGGCTCAATCGATTATCCAGGCTTTGCAATGGGTAGAAGGCCAAATGGATGGCGATATATCGCTTAGGAGTCTTTTATCTCCCCATCATGGGACCTCGTAGCACAGAAGAGAGTTATTAAAGAATAAGTTGCTATCCCGTAGCTGGAGTCCGACTCCGCCCATGTAGATGTGCAGCGCATCGAGCTTCTCTGCTTCTATCTTGTTATGTCCGATATCAGCCCAAGCCAACGTAGACACAGCGCAGAAAGACTCCCCCGAGTTTCAAGATAGCTTCAACACCGGCATGATGCTGAGTCCAAAGCAGGATCGGTCCTTACGTGACAAGACATATCTTTCTGACGGTATGCTAAGGTCCACGCGAATTCTGTGACCTAACTTGTACTTAGTTTACTAAACTTCGGCTGAGTACCTAAGTCTCTTCATTATTTAGGGTCGAAGTCTTAAGCTTTCTTTGCTCCTCTGGCCTGGAGTTCTATTCATGCTCCTCCTCTGGGATATAGGAACAAGTTTTGTTCTCAAGTGATCTTATTAGCAACTACTAAGCCTGCCAACTACCCGACGGCAGGACTCTTAATTCAGGAGTCATCCATGGCCCATACCAGAAATGCAATTCGCCCTCAAGGTTATGCTCCTTATATTCCGTATGCATGCAGGTGCGGGGCCCGCGAGATCCAAAATGTACTCGCATCTTCGTATGCTGGCCGGAAGGAGGCCATGTCTCGATATATATGCGCGTTATTGGTGTAATGAATGCTCGGTGTCTGATTTTCGCATCCTTGTTGCCCCGCGCCAAGTCGCCGATGTATCTCTGAGCCCCGTTCCCATAATATATGAACATTCCTATAAATCCTGGGCCATCTCGTTCGTGTACCACGATGCGGCGGATGTGTTCTAGGGGAGCCCAAGACCAGGCAGGTCGGTGAGAGTCAAAAACAGGTCTGAATGATGACAACTGCGGTCCGATGACCATGGGACTATGGTTTGGTGCGAGTACAACTCCCTCAGGATAGATAGCACACGAAACAGTACGCTCCAGCGCACCGCCTCTCCCTTTCCACAGGAACAAAAGCTGCGGATGCGTGACGCGGTACCTCAAAGAGAATGTATTGTTGTTCGGGTCCGTGGTCGATTTTGCTTGTAGTCCCGCGTGTACAACGCCTAAAGATCGGGTCTCAAGCAACATACTGAAGCTGTCTTCATTCAATCGGATCTCCAGGCACAATGTTTCTTGTTCAATTGCCGGAGTATGTAGTGGTACGACAAAAGGAACCGGAATTGGACCACGGCCGTGGTCAGCATAATTTGTTAACCAACACTTCGTTGCAGCAAAGGGACCTCCTAAAATAAAAGGTGCATTTTGCCCGCAGAAGAATGTGAGATGCAGTTCGGCCATCTTGTCGAGGCGTATCACCCGGATATCTGTGGCTCGAGGAACGTGATTATTTAACATTCCACAGCCCTCGAGTTGCAAGAAGGGCCTGCGGCTCCAATCATTTGGATAGAGTACCTTTGGTGGTTCCTGAGTGTCCCAAGTCGGGAAACCAGGGTGGCGTTGACCTGCCGTCAAACAGCAAAGCCCATTCTATATCATCAGTGAACCATAAAAGTATGCTACGGCTGGGAATGCTAACCTAGAAGTAGGCTTTGACGGTCGCAAGGTCTTTCTCGTTGGCGAGAACGTACTTCCTGAGCTTCACCTTGGGATTGTAGTTTGGTGGGTGAGGATGTTTCCCAAGTCTCTCAATCTCACATATACCGTCCGAATCAAGACTGATGAGCAGGCAACCGGGGTCTTTTAGATGTCGCCCGCGATCTGGCAAAGACTGGAAGCGCTTCCACTTCTCAATGCGGGAGAGATCCTCGATCACGGGGTTACCCGTAGGTGCAAAATCTTCCAAGCCCAGCACCAGCACCAAATTCCAGAAGTAGGCATCTGGACAATAAGATAGAACGATATCGAGAAGTTCCCTGGTCTTGGCAAGCTTGTGGAGGATATGGCTTTGACTTTGAAAAACATATCTCTCTGTCTTCCTAACGGCCGTTATGCTGACAAGCCGATGTCCTTCAGGAATGTGCAGTCCTGGCGGGAAAATACGCATGAGGTCGAGTTTGCGACATCCAATAGCTCTCCTGAAGCAGTTGATTTCGGCTTGCGAACGTTGTTGCCCATTGGGCATGATCTGGATGACATTGAAACAGAGTCGATGTAAGAACGTGCATCTTGTATTTTGCGTGATCGTTGGTCTACTCGACCGATTAAGAGTCACATGCCTCCAATTTCCGGTAGGATAATCAGCGCAGTAAAACAGGACCGCTGATGTTTCTGTATCTTTGATCATTGCCTGGCAGCCATCGCACCGAACGTTCTCAAAAATGCTGGGCATTGTATCGATGAGAATAAAGATAGATAGATGCTGTGGTGATGTAAGGTTTGAGTAGGAATAGAAGAGATTATTCCAAACTTATGCCAAGTTACCTAAGGATTTTTGTTATTTAGGATAGAGTTACTGGGTTTTCTTTCCTCTTTTACCTGGAGGAGGAAGGAATGGCATAACATGTTGGAGGGACACACACTTATTCCTGCCCCTGAAGTTCTTTACAGAGGGAAGGTCTCTACCCACTATGTAGGAGCAAGAAAACTCAAGACTTTGAGGGGCTAAAATAAACTCAGTAAAGAGTCTAATAAACTCAGGCTAGACTTATCTAAATATCTTCATCACTTAGGGTCAAGGTCCTAAGCTTTTCTGCCTCTCCGCTCGTTTAGACGGGCGTTCACTTATCCTCAAAGAGCGTGCAGTAGAATCAGAATGTGACCCAAAAGAGCTGTCGAACTTCGAAATGCGAATATTTCAAGTCAAATCTACACCGTCGTCCTAGCACAACAGTCAAAGATAGCCACCGTACAAAAGCACCTCAACACCAACACCAGCAATGCCGTCTCCTGTTATCGACTGGGCGCATCAGAGGGCACAGAGGGAAAATACCCAGGCTTTGACGCTCGTTCCCGATCAGCTTTTGCCGCTTCGGCTTGTCGCTTCTTCAGCAGTCTTTGCTGGTAAAAGGCCCTGTTTCTGTTAGCATGTTGCACCACAAGCAAACTAACAAGCAACGTACGTTTTCAGCTCAAATACACGAGGCTCTTCCTCAACAGGGGGGGTTTTGTCTTCCTTGTCCTACAAAGTCAGTAGTGCAAAGACAAACTGGCGTATTCACTCACCTTGTCTTCATCCTTCTTCTCATCCTTCTCCTCTTTGTCTTTCTCCTTATCCCCATCCTTTTCCTTCTTATCCTTTTCTTTATCCTTCTTCTCTTCCTTCTCCTTCTTCTTCTTCTGCTTCTCCTCGTACTCCTTCTTAACCCTCTCTTTCTCCTCCTCTAACTCCTTCTCCCTCTTCCTCTTCGCAGCCTCCTCATCAATCTTGGGCGTGCAAAAGTACCGATCCTTGAGGTGAACCGGACAAACAAAGAAGAAATCCTACCATACCAATCACATAAGTTTAAGCTTACAAAGTGATCAGCTGTATTTGCTTCTTTATGTCAGTATCCCGCATACCTTTTGATCAGGTGTGATTAGCACTGAGGTGCTCGACTTGTAGCAGATATCGCATGCTTTAGCCGCTGTCTCAGCAACCTTGCGGAGCGTGTAGATGTTCGGAAACGTAGTCGCCATGATTGTGATTCAGAATCGACAATTTTGTAAGACAAAAAGACTGTTTGTTTACTACAGCACCTGACGGCTCGTATCACACGAGGTTCGGTGAATAAGGCTGGGCTGGGTTGGGTATTCGCGGGGAAGCGCCCCGTCCAACTTTGACGTCAGCACCTGATAGGGCGGAGCACCCCCTGAAAGGTTTGACAACAGCGCCTGTAACCCGCCAAAACTGGCGCCAGTCCCTGACTAATAAGCGCCCGCCGTCATGAATCGCTATCTTATCGCACTTGTAGGAAATATGATGACCTTTGCGTATCCGATCGCCACGGCCAACTCCTAACAATTCTCTTGCACCCAATTTTTCAACCCCCAATCTTTTTTTGAAAGCAGTGATATAATTCAAGGAAAGGCGATTGGATTCAGTCATGGGCAAATCGCTCGATACGGAGAAGCTGGGTTCGGTATTTGGGACCCGGCCAGATATTCTTGAAGGAATTCAGAGAGCAGCTGGTAAACAATACCCCTGAAGATGTTATTCGCGAAATACTAACTCTGGAGTCTAGATACACCTGGTCGAATCGCTTTGTTCAACGAAATTGCAACTCATGTTTACGATCAGTTGTTAAACGGGGGAACCGAGCCGGCGCATAAGAAGAGAAGAGTTGATGTTCAAACAAACGGAGCCGCGAATGGTACAAAGGCTGTCAAGACCGAAACGAATGCTGCAGACGAGACTGTCCTTCTCGAAATCAAAGAGATTTCAGTTTCCGTGCCCCAGAGGAAGAAGTTTGAGTTGTGTTTTACCGATGGCCACATCTACGCTCGCGCGCCAAACACAACAGCACCGATTCCAGCTATAACCTACGCGTGGTCAGACATTGGTACGCGTTACCGCATTGTTGTTATGGGCTCCATGCTAATCTTGCGCCAGAATATGTATTCTACCTCCCCGTACCCGAAAAGAACCAGGTCCAGCACAACTATGTCATTTTCCCACGAGGAACATGTCTCCCTTCCAAGACGAACCCCCCGACCGAAGAGCCACTCGTGTTTACGGTTCCCGCGACTCCGCCCAAGCAGGGTACGATAGGTGGACCTGACGCTGGAAGCGCGGCTGCAGTTTCGGACAATTACAAGTCTTTGTTCCACTGGGCTCTGAACCGTCATCTCAAGCCCAATGGTGTCAGCATTACTTCAGCCGACCCCAACAAATTCCAGAGCATGGTTCGACAACCCCATCGACCAAGCGAGAAGGCCGTGCATGTCAAGGCCTTCAGGGGCTCCAAGGATGGATACCTTTTCTTCCTCGAGAACGGCATTCTCTGGGGTTTCAAGAAGCCAATGATGTTTATCCCCTTGAGCAGAATCGCCGCTACGAGCTACACCAACATTCTCCAACGAACATTCAACATCGCAATCGAGGTCTTTGCGGGCGAAGGTGATGCGACCGAGGAAGCTGAGTTCTCCATGCTGGACCAGGAGGACTATAGCGGAATCGACGATTACATCAAGAAGCACCGTCTCCAAGATCGCAGTATGGCTGAGCAGCGAAAAGCCAAACTAGAGCTCGCAGAGAACCGCGGACCCAAGAAGAACGGCGAAGAGGCTGGAGACGACGCACCAGCTGCAACTGGCATTTCTGAACTTGCAAAGGCGCAGCTGGACGCTGAGCAAGCGCTACAAGATGAAGAAGACGAGGATGAGGAGGACTACGATCCTGGAAGTGATGCGGACTCTGATGGTTCAGGAGAGTCCGATGATGATGACGATGACAGTGATGACGATGAAGACGAGGAGGACGAGGAGGACGCAGAAGGAGAAGCCGAAGATGGTGATGAACAAGCTGAGGGCGAGGAGGAAGAAGAGCAAGAGGAGGTTAAGGAGGAGCCAAAGCCGGTCAAAAGGAGCCGAAAAGCTGCCCCTCAGCCGACAGAATCTGCACCACCACCAAAGCCCTCCAAGCAGCCCGTTCAGCAGCCCGTCGTGAAGACAGGCTGGGCAGCACTACGAAGTGTTGCTCGAGCGCCAGCCCCTGAAAGCATGGACTTGGACGAGGAGAAGTTTGATGTTGTCTAATGATGCAGGGGCTTGTACATATGTAACAATAAACTTGGCGGGATATGAATAACGGCGGTGTGCACAGCATAGGAGTCGAGGAATATGAATATTATCGGTACTGAAAGAACACTGGTCGATGTGAATGTGTTGTTGATGCAATCTTATCGATATCTGAACTATAGGGAAAAGAAAGTCTAGACAACAAAGGAAGTAGTAAGGAGACCCAGGATATCATTCCGTTGTTGAACTTCAAGGCAAGCGACTTTCCCTCGACTGATCCTCGACCCTGACCTCATCCTTGTCCTCATCCTTGTCCTCATCCTTGTTCACTTCTGGGTAGGCGAGGATTTCAACGCGACCTCCTCGGTGCCACAGAGCAAGATATATTCTACATTCACCACACTGATGAAGAACATCCTTGGCTTCAGGGATGACGAAGGGGATCCATGACAGGATAGCGCAGTTTAGAAGGCATGCGATACCGGCAGCGAGGCTGAAATTTTGTCTCAGGAACACATCTTTCTCAAGGAAGGCAAGGGCAAACTCACAAAGTGACACCACCAGATTTTGCCGTTGTGATAGTCATGGCCGTTACTCCACACACTGGGCAAACAACCGGTGCACTCAGGCTTTTCAGGCTCTTGAGCGGCAGGCTGAAAAGCTTCTCTTCCTTCCGCTCTGGCCCCAAGGTATCTTTGTGGTCATCTCCTTTCAGATTTTTGGGAGGTGGGCTTGCAAGTGGCGGCTTGGCGAGAGGTGAACTGAATTCGATGGACTTGCGGTCTGAAGACCGTCGATTGTCGTCCTCGAGGGAGTGATGAGCATGATGCTTGTGATGCTCAGAATTGGATGCTAGATCCCGTTAGCAAGATGATCATGTAGATGCATGAGGGACGCAGCGCAACTCACTAGGACTCTCCATCGTGAATATGGATACAGGTAAAGCTGTTGATGAGATGGAATCAGAATCAGGTGTCTTTCAGCGTGATGAGGGTCTAGTTCTGCCCAAGGATGGCCTTGCAAAATGATGCTTGAGGATGATGATGAGGATGAAAGGATGATGTCGGAGGTTTCCTGGCTGCACTGAGCCAAGTTCGAGGTAGTCACCCAGTCTCGTGGTCAGGGAAAGAACCAAGCACGGCAGGAAGGCCCTCTTCTCATCGAGAGCGAAACGGGCGGAAGGCGACCCCTAACATTTGGGAAAGAGGCTGTGATGTCAGCAGGAGTGAAGGTGGAATCGTGTATCACTCGTCCCTTCTGTAGAAGTCCTTCCATGCTTGAAGGTGGTAATCATTGGAAGGTACTAAGGTAACATGAAATTTGTAAGTTTTGCTGTATCGAATCGTTGGCCGACATCACAAAGAGTAGAAAGGTAGTGGATGTCCGTGGCTGTGTGCGTGATGATCCATTTTTGGCGAGTAATGATGCATCGTAAGACTACCTATAAGAATAGGAGCGCATGCAAACAAGAGGATGTGTTTCCCTGATATCAAGATGGGTGTTGTAGGGGCTAGTTATAAGTGGGAATGGTGATATCCGTGGTTGATGGATGCAAGTATTGATGTCAGCGATAGGCGCTTCTAGTTAGGTCGAAGAATTATAAGTGTCAATTTTGCTGTTAATGTCCTCTGTAGAATATACCTGACAGAAATGCTGTAACGCGAATAGTTGCAGTATCCCTCATTCTCGTTGCAGCCTTGGTACTGTAATCAGTTGTTGATGAACGCATGCGTCCAGGGTTGGAGTTGTGCCTGGCATTGACTCTCACAGTCTACGCAAACAACACAAGAGCAGCAAGATCTCCAAGAATCCAGTCTGATAAATTCAATACATAGCTTATCAAAGAACTTATTCGAACATCACTTCATCTCAAGATGCTCATCCACGGGCACAACCTCACGCTCCAACACAGCTCTTATCTTATCATCAATCTTATCACCATCTCTACAGCACGTGACCCCTTCCAAACTTTCCACTCCTCCATCACCGCATCACGAGCTCAATCGCCATATCAATCAATCTAATCCCCCCAACAATCCCTTCAAAATGACCGGCCGGCACAAAGCAATCCGTCTTCCACCTCTCAAGACCCTGCGCGTCCACAACCCCAAGCGCCAGGTCGAGAATCCCTGCATCGCCATCATGTCCAGCGTTCTCGGTAAATCCCCCTCCCCTCTACGACTCAATTACCGGTTTCGAGACATGCCACTGACAAGGCACAGCATGCTGGGCCTCAGCAGGCTACAACGCAACGGGCTGCGCAGCGGTAGAGACCCAGCTCCGCAAATGCATGGACGGTCCGGCTCCTCCCCCCGCGGGCACGAACACGATTAACTACCATCTCGCACGAATGCAAAAGTACATGACCGGGCCGAGGAAGCAAAAGTAGGAACATACACATAAAACGAAGAAGAAGGGTTATGCATTTTGGGCGTCGGAAGCGCTGCTTTTGCTGGGATGGGATTGGATTCGAGATATGTACAACAATACCCGCACGGGGGATAGAAGGGCGAGATGTATAAATATCGCTGTACGATACAGTTACAAGTACAATTCAAGTCATGACAATTTGAATCAAGGACAAAACGTTGTTCAATGATATGTGGATGGCAGTTACGGACTCATGGTCACAACATCATGATATAAGAGACGAATCAGTCCATTCAAAGTGTTTGCATTTCACTACCTCGCTCTGCAAAACACCTCATACTAAAATCCACAACTCTACCCATCATAAGGCGCACACCCAATGCCACAAGTTTCCCACATCCACCTCTATTGCGCACGGGGGGGAATCACACCCAAAAAACAAAAAAAGGAACGACAAACCCGAATCTTGAGAAGACAGACACAAAAAAAGAAGAGGTTAAATAACAAAGAACAAGAAAATCGAGAGAATGATGATAAACGCCCCCATATCTTAATTGTAGCGCCGGATCCCATGAAAGTGTGCTGTAAGTGGCTGAGAAGATGAATGATCCCGGTAAAGAAAACAGCTTTTCATCTTACAATAGAAAGGACGCATACAATGCGAATGAGTCATTTCTATGCAAGAAAAAAAGCCGTCCCGAACCAAAAAGAAGTCTTAACCCAAGAAAAAATAATGTCCATGAGACGAATGAGTGGCTTGAGTAGGCGGTGTGTTTTTTGTTGGATGGTGACGATAGAAAAAAGAGATGTGTTCGAAAAGTCGAGTTCGCTTGCCGTCTATATGATAATGTATCGGCCTTGCCCAGTCGTCCAGACGCCCTTGGTCGTTATCGTGCCTTTGATCATGGATGGCTTCTTCAAGTAAATGTATGAATGTTTTTTTTCCGTGCGCCGAAAAATGCGGTTTATGATCCGTGGGTATCCTAAGCACAATGCACCATTTCTGCCTCCTCTCCGAGTGTTGGGTGTCGATCGACATACGAGTGTGCGCCTGTGAGAGGGTGTCTAGGAAGTGCCACCGACGCAGAAGAGCTCTATCTCTCCTACGCCTCCTGAGTACATGTTCCTGACACCTTCACGCCACTCCATGAAGGCGATCTGGATATCATCATCGCCTTCGATGGCGACAAAGTCACCGTCTTCGTCGCGGTATCGAAGCTTGAGCAGGCCCTTGCTGATACTGCTAGTAGTGAAGCGGGCGAGCTTGGCATCGATGCGATCAACAAGAGACTGATAGGTAATGTTGAAAGCCACGACCAGGGTGACGTAGTTTCCTGCTTCGCAGTTCACTCGGACCTTGAGTTGTGTTGGGAGGGGCATTTCCGGGCTTAGGGGGTTCGAGTTAGGTGGCATTGTTGCTGTACCAAGAGCTGGGGACACTGTTCGCGAGTTGGCGGCAGCAGCGTCAACACGAAGAGCATTTCCTCCAGCACCGGGCGTCATTGATCGTGGATGAACTGGTTGTGAAGGGAAGTGGTTCATGCTGCCACCCACACTGCCGGTGTGCTTGTGCATGCGCTCTCGCTGAGCGCCTGGGCTGTTTGTTTGGGCCCGAGTTGGCTGTTCATTTCTAGGTGAACCTGTCTGTTCTCGGCTAATACTGGGGTTGTGGCCAGGATGCAGATGTTGAGGGATGCCAGGGACTGCTGGAATGTTTCCGTGGCTAGGCTGTCGTGTGCGTGGCATTCCTGGTCCGTTAATATCAGGAGTGCTGTACGAGCGGTTCCTTTGTTGAGCAGCGAGAGCCGCCTGGTTGTTTGAGGCCATTGCTGGCAGTGAAGGTCCACGAGGGTTACGTCCATGAGGGTTCGGTGAAGGACCGTCGCGAGAGGGGGCACGTGGCATGGCGGGTGCGGTGTATCGGTTGCCGTTACCATCCTCCCAAGTTGGCTGAGGAGTGGCACTCTTCGGGAGGCCATAGTGAGGTGTTGTAAACATTCCACTGGCTGTGCTGGTTCTTGATGATGCTGGTGACTCGGCGACAGGAGAGAAGTAGCTATCACCCGCCCAGGCGCCGGGTGAGTGGGCACCATTTGCTGCTGTCTGAAGGCTGAGCGGTGCGGGAGGCGCTGGTAGAGGGAAGCGAGGCGGAGGTGCTCTCACCATACCGGCCAGTGAAGCAGAGCTCTCTCCAGTTCCGGCTCGAGCGCGAAGGTTACTGGTTGAAGCTGTTCGAGGTACGATGCCCGAGGGAGGTCCTGTATGGTACCCAGCAGGTGCTGTTGCTGGTCCGAGGTCTTCATCGTCGTCGTCCTCCTGCAGGTATGGATTCTCCAGTCCAGCCCCATGCTCTCGTGTCCAGGCAAAGTCGGTTGAAAGCGAGTCTGAGTTCGAAGATTGGCGCGGCACGTTATGCTTCCTCTGGGTCTCCAGAGTCATCACCCATTTCCTCAAAGTCTCTTCGTTCAAGAACTTGATGACAAAGTTCTCAACACCGGGGTCTCCCTTCCACCATATCTGCACACTGTGGTTGCCTTCCGAGAGTTAGTTGTGTCGATTACTCAGAGTTTCATGACTCACCTGGCTTAGAGAAGGACACAATATCAGTCACATTAGTCATGAAGATCCTGCCCTTCAACTGAAGCTTGGCGCTCTTGTTCCGTGTCTTGGTGCCTGATGACCGCAGTTTGTCCTTCTTATCCTTGCTCTTGCTTGATGAGATCTCCTTGCAACACAGGAGAATAGACTCGAAAAGATAGATTTCGTACTTTTCAAGGTTAGTGTCGGGCCCCTGGAATCTGGCCAGCAGACTTACATCCTTCTCTTGATCTGTCTTTCCGGTGATCACACCATACACGCCATGCAAGAGAAGTTTGCCAAATTGTTCCACCTTGTGGCTCTTCCAATCCTCAACTCGGCTTGTGAGGTCCTCGAGAGCCTCATCAAGCAAGTCGCGGTTGACGGCTTCGTTGGCCTTCTTCAGCACTCGCTCGGCGGCCTCGCAACCACTGGTCAGATCCAACTTGACCTCATCATCCTCAGTCTTCTTGTTCAAATCCTGCCATGTATTAGCTATCGAGCCTCGAAAAAGCGCTATCAGCCTACCTTGAGCAACAGAGGATATTTCACCAGTCTCTGCATGGGCTTCAGCAGGAAACCATCCAGGGTGTTGAAATCGGTTGCCACGGGGTGTGAGGAGCGCTGGATTTTGTCGAAAACCTGGTTCGCAACCATAGCCGCCTTACGCTGGTTGGCGATAAAAGGCTGGTAAATGTCAAACGCATCCTCGTACATAATGAAGGGAGCCCCCCATCGTTGGGCACCAGCGGACATGGAGTTTGTTGTCTCTACTCGAATCAAAAAGCGGCGCTGGAAATCGAGAATGGCGTTGATGTTGAGGAAGATCTGATGGAGAGTATCGCCAGGAATCTCGCCTTGTTGTTCGAGTGTCTTCTTCAAGTCGTGGAGGTTCTCGAGATCTTGGACGTATTTTCGCTCGGTGTCGACAAGTTCACGGATGATGTGGTCTCGGTAGGTCATCTGTCCACCCGTGGGCTCGTTGTTTCCATCCCCAGATTCTGGTAAAGGTTGAAGGAGATACCCGCGTTCCTCTGCTCGATCCAAGACGTAATTAACAACTTGAGTCACCTATTTCATCACTTTAGCTCAGACTACACATCATAGGCGACATCTACCAACCTTTACAAAGCCGCTGGTATCGTTACCCATCAAGTCAGTTATCACAAAACTATGGGAAGATGGAATATCTAGGTCTTTCATGCAGGCCTGGACGAATTTGAAGATGGCGATCTTGGACTTCTTAGCTTCATTAGCGCTAGGGTCCTCGACCTTGAGCTCTTCATTAGGTCGCAGGGCATTGTAAATGAGGAGTAAAGGGTATCCTGTTCGGAATAGGTTCCATAGAGGATCAACAGGATCATTAGGGTCCAACTGATCCAGATAAGGGTCGAAGCCAGGAACCTGAGCCAAGCGCTGCTTCAGCGAAATACAAATCTGGTAAAGCGATCGTGAAGCATCGGCTTTTTGATTGATGATATTCGCTGTGGCTAGCACGGGGCCGCCGTTCTGTGGTGTGGCGGTCGTAGCCGCAGACAGAGAACTCAACGAAGCCGAGGAGCCAGCAAAGGCTGTCGAGCCCGAGAGTTGGCTGGCGCGCGGCGCATGGTTCATGCTGGTCTGCGAGAAGCCACTGAATCCGTTGGAGTTTGGCTGAAAGACCGGAGCTGTATTATTTCGTAGCAACGGGGCATGGGCCATAGCCTTCTACGCCATCCGTCGAGAGGGAGCGACTTGGGAGAGAGTGAGATAGAGGCGAAGCCGACAGCAGGGAGAGCGAGAGACGGTACAGCGAGATAAAGGTTGTCGAGGGAGATCGGTTCGAGGGGAAGCGCCGTGGGATTGTCTTGGGTGTGAAATGTCTAGGGATGTCACTTGGCGCTGGACTCAGGAACGTTTCAACGAGCGGTTCGACGTCATTCGGCGGTGAATCAGCGTGAGATTCGAACGTTGAGTTTTCGCAGCTGCAAGACAGGGCAGGCGGGGTAAGGGGGTGTTGAGGAGGAAGTGTCGAGGCGAAGCGGCTGTTTGAGGGAGTAATCCGAAGGTTGGAGCGACAAAGAATTGATCGCGGCGGGAGTCCCTCTTTGAACGTATACAGTATCGGCAGCGGGCCTGGTGATGGCTGGTCGAGAGTGTAGAGGTGGTGGTCTCGGGGGGTCAGGCGGTGGAGCGATCGAAGGGGGGGGGTTAGTGAAGCGGATCGACGATGCCGAAATGGAAGCTGGACAGGTTTTGAAACGATGGGAGTAGATTCTTGTCTGATCTGGCAGGCGGGCCAGATATTCCGATGTGTGAGTTTTTGACTTTTTTGGGTGAGGGCAGAGGAATTAAATTAGAGCCAGAATAAACCGTTGTTGCCGCAGTTTTGGTCAAAGGAAGGATTTCGACGAGGCTGGGCGTAGGTTTAAGGTAAGGTTGAAGCAGACGGCAGATGGAGAA